AATAAAATAAAATAAAATAAAATAAAATAAAATAAAATAAAATAAAATAAAATAAAATAAAATAAAATAAAATAAAATAAAATAAAATAAAATAAAATAAAATAAAATAAAATAAAATAAAATAAAATAAAATAAAATAAAATAAAATAAAATAAAATAAAATAAAATAAAATAAAATAAAATAAAATAAAATAAAATAAAATAAAATAAAATAAAATAAAATAAAATAAAATAAAATAAAATAAAATAAAATAAAATAAAATAAAATAAAATAAAATAAAATAAAATAAAATAAAATAAAATAAAATAAAATAAAATAAAATAAAATAAAATAAAATAAAATAAAATAAAATAAAATAAAATAAAATAAAATAAAATAAAATAAAATAAAATAAAATAAAATAAAATAAAATAAAATAAAATAAAATAAAATAAAATAAAATAAAATAAAATAAAATAAAATAAAATAAAATAAAATAAAATAAAATAAAATAAAATAAAATAAAATAAAATAAAATAAAATAAAATAAAATAAAATAAAATAAAATAAAATAAAATAAAATAAAATAAAATAAAATAAAATAAAATAAAATAAAATAAAATAAAATAAAATAAAATAAAATAAAATAAAATAAAATAAAATAAAATAAAATAAAATAAAATAAAATAAAATAAAATAAAATAAAATAAAATAAAATAAAATAAAATAAAATAAAATAAAATAAAATAAAATAAAATAAAATAAAATAAAATAAAATAAAATAAAATAAAATAAAATAAAATAAAATAAAATAAAATAAAATAAAATAAAATAAAATAAAATAAAATAAAATAAAATAAAATAAAATAAAATAAAATAAAATAAAATAAAATAAAATAAAATAAAATAAAATAAAATAAAATAAAATAAAATAAAATAAAATAAAATAAAATAAAATAAAATGTTAACCTCGTGTAGTGAGACCATTGAACCTATTGGGTTATTGCTATTCCAAGATGATTTTGAACTACGACTTTTCGTAAACGATCACGTCCCCCTTAATTTATTATATCCCTTTCATTCAATTTGCGGCCTTAAGTTTCTTTGGTAGTTTTTTTTACTCTGAAATTGATAATTGTGTAGTTTCCATTCAAAGACTGAATATATTTAATATTTAATATACAAATACAATTTCCTTCAATTTCAAATACATATAATATTTTTATTGCAGAGCATTATCTAATACATCCCGAAACTATCATTAATCAAACATTCCATCCATTATCTTATTTAAATAAAATATTTAATTTGCAATGATATACAATCAATTAATATTATATTTTTTTATTTGTAAAACAAATTATAGCTCTAAAATACTTTGTAGCCCAAAAATAATATAAAATAATGTAGCCCAAAAATAATATAAAATGATTTAACCCCAAAATAATATAAAATAACTCAGACCAAAAATAAATTGATTTAATAAGCCTTGTTTTACAATATTAAGAAAAATCTAAAAGTAGAGAAAAGAAACAATTTTTTTTGAGTTGATGATTGTGAAATTAACATGGTTTTGCTATCTTTTTACAATATTCTATTTTTTGTGTTTACTATTTAACAAATTAAAGCATATAGAGCACTTTTCTGACATAGCAATGTTTTGTGAATTTTACTAAAGTTGTGAAATAAAAGGGCGACTTTCTTAAAGTTAGCAGGAGAGAATAAGTTTGAATGTCAAAATTAAATAGTAATCCCGGAAATTTTTGTTCATTTAAGAAACAACTCAACTATTTTTTTTCGTTATACGTATATGCATTTACTTTTCATTATACGAATAAATAAAAAACAATAAAAATAACAACAATAATTTATCTTCAGTTTTGAAAGAATAGTTTGCTAATTAAATAGTCAGCTATTTTGCATTGAGTTATTTCAAAGCAGCAGAATGCTTTTAATTTCTTAACGAGTTTAATTATCTACAATTCAAGCCTTCTTTTATTAAGAACTTGAAAATAGTTTAAAAGTAAGCGTTTAATTTAAAGGAAAGCCTAAAATAAAATACTAAAAAAAATAGATGTGTATATTTTTGAAAAGCTGATCTACGTATTAACATAAAGAAAAAAAATCTTGAAAAATGAAAAAAAAGCATGTAATTTAAAGTTTGTAAAATAATGGCTTGAAATATGCACAGCAAGGTAATTATCAGTAATAATCAGTAATAAATAATTAGCACATACGAGGTCACCCCCAGAAACCATTAAGATTGACGCTTAGCTCGTAAAAATCCAATCATTAGAGCGAAAGTTATTCAGGGTGATATCTCGTTTCTGCACGCTGAACATAATTTCAAATTGATAATGTGAAAATATTGATTATCTAACAAAAATTATTCAAATCTTCAACAGTATTAATTGAAGTTAAATAATAGAGAAAAAATGAATTTACGTTTTATACAGGTATCAAATTCAAACATGTCCATGTTTTATATGGATTTCAAACTTAATCATATTCTATTTCAAATTCAAACATAATTTTTTGCCGTTTCAAAGAAGAAGAAAGAACTTACTTATTTAAACGTTAAAACAAATCTCCAAAATCCGAGCCCTTTTAAAACGAGAACAACTTTAAAAAAAACTATAATTTACGACTGTAAGCAGTAACTTAGGACACTAACTGAGTGAGCTTAGAAAAAACTGTTGATTGGTGCTTTTCAATTAAAACTGATAAATTGAAAAATTGTTTTCAAGTGACATGCGTAATTGACTAAGGAGTATAAGCATTTTGTTTTAGATAACCAGAAAATTTTTAGAAATTAAAAAAATAATCATGTTTGCTGTTTTTTCTTGTAACGAGAAAATTTTTTAAACTTTAAAGAAGGGCAACATATTATTTAGGACAAAAAGAAAGATAAAAATAAGGTCCATTTATTTAACTGTTTACATATTTTGCAAAACGCAGTTTCTGATATAAATAAAAAGGAAACAGCTCTCCAGCAGCTGCCAATTTTGATGACTCTATTATAAGTTCAATATTGAAAGTGACAATAACATAAACATTTTCAACAAACATCACACTTTTTTTTCGTCTTTTCAATTTGCAATCGTTTTTTTTTTTTTGCTCTTTTTCTTTCATAGTTCAAATGCAATTTTAGTCTATCTTAAACTTTACAAGAGGAGTTTCGAAGTATGAAAATCGATAATGGATGGTGACAAAACAAATTAAAACTTCTTTCGTGACCATCATATTAATGTGAATTTAGTAATTTGTATGAACTAAAAAGCTTATCTAACTAAAATATGTTTTACATAGAAATAACAGACTGTTCGTTAAAGGAGATTGTAAATAATCACTCTACTATATTCGTCATCAGTATAGCTTTTTAATACTAATTTTGGGTAATATTTTGGGTGCAGTGACAATAGGTACCCCTTATACTAATGAAGGTAAGAAAAAGAGAGCACCTTTGAACACTTTGAATTTCTGCCAAAGCATTAGTAGTTATTTTTGAATGTAAACATGAGCACGCAATAAGTCTTTTTTTGAATGCCCAGTTCAAGCAAAATAATCAGGGTTTTAAATTCTTGCATTTAAAATTAAAACTATGAATGTAAAAATTGCAAGGTTACAAGTAAAATTAATTCAACTTCTTGTTTTTTATTCTTTAAAAAAAGTTAAAGACTTGCAGTTTATTACATTATATACTTACTTATAAAAGAGGCGTTCTTAATAGAACCAAACTGTATATAATGAGGCACCCTATGAAAGAGAAGTTTAAGTATCTCTGAACATCCAGAAATACAAAATAAATACATTTTCATTATATATTTAATAACCGTCGTTGAACAGTCGACCCAATTTTATGGGTTTACGACTACTAAGGTTCAACTTCGTAGCCTTGTAATTTTGAACCCAATCCAGAAGACAAGCTCCTGGATCGAGTATTGGGAGAAATTTGCCTTCACTTTTTGATGGAGCTAACCCGCAATTGCGTAAGATCACGAGAAACTCCCACGGTTAGCCTGACGGCTAGGGAACTCTAACCCATGATCCGTCTCCCACTTAGGATATTTCACGTCAGCACTGGGGTCGGTGCAAGCCGGATGCGGAATTCGCCTCATTGGAAGGCGAACGCTCTATCCCCTGAGCCATTGCGGCTCAAAATAAATACATTAAAATATTTCAAAATCTTGAAGAAATTTGCCTAAATCTTACCAAATTCCAAATAATTCCATAGCTAATTTTGGTACTAAATACCGACACTTTGGGTGCATCATCCGTAAAATCGATTTTATGGTAAGAACGATTTTTACCGTAAAATCTATGTTTTTTTTTTAATTCTCACAGTAATATTTATTTAATTAGAGTAATTCAGTGATTTTTGCGGTAATTATCGCTGATAAAATTACAAGATATCAGCTTTTTTGTCACTGGTTTATCTGATGGTATTAAACGGCTTATTAGATTTTATGGTATATCAGATTCCAAAAATCTGAGTGGCGGAATTTTTACCCATGATTTAATCTAAAATATTTTACAGTGTACTCTCCATATTTAAATTTTTATTATATTCAAATTACTAAATATTAGATTTGAAATATTTTAATAATAATCTACAGCTATTCATCTACTGATATTATTTTCTTGATACCAATATGTGTGTAGTGAGTACTGATAGTATTCGTAAAGTCAGCAAGTAGATTTATGTAGAAAATTAGTTGCCTAATTCAAAATCCTGTTCCCTAAATCATACAGACTTCAAAAATATTGACCAAAGCAATTTTTATTAGTGTAATAAAATATATAATTTGAAATTTTTGAACTCTTAAATAATAACAATAAGGACATAACAAGTTCCTTTTTTGAAGTCAGTAAGCAATGTTTGCTGAGTGATAAAAAAACACTAGTATTCTAAAAATATGTATTATTTTGCATGCATATACAATCTTATTATTACTTTTTTATCTTAATATAAATTATTAATTTTGTTACACTTAATGTAATTTTAATTGTTCGTTTTGCATCTCAGAAAAATGGGCAGAAGTCAAAGAAGCAAGAAGAGGCCATCTCGTAAGTAAAAATTTGCTTTAATCTGCTTAAAACACAGTTAATTTATAACCAATGATTTGATCCCTTAAAACTCGTTGAAATACTTTTCTAATTTAAGAGCCATTTTGTTTGAATTTATGAATGAAATCTCTCTTTGTGAAATATTCTGTAGCAGATATAAGCATTTAGATACATATCTTTTAGTTTCGTGCATGATTACTAGTGGATTCACTATTTGTGAATTATGACTCAATATTTATTTACGATTTCTATTAACCCGCACAAAGAATGGATAATCAGCTGGTAAAATAAGTTAAAAAAATACTTAAAAAATGTCTTGTACTTTAATACTTTTCTAATTTAAGAGCCATTTTATTTGAATTCACGAATGAAATCTCTCTTTGTGAAAAATTCTCTAACAGATATATGCATTTATATGCATATCTTTTAGTTTCGTGCATGAATACTAGCGGATTCACTATTTGTGAATTATGACTCAATATTTATTTACGATTTCTATTAACCCGCGCAAAGAATAGGTAATCAGCTGGTAAAATAAGTTAAAAAAATACTTAAAAAATGTCTTGTACTTTAATACTTTTCTAATTTAAGAGCCATTTTATTTGAATTCATGAATGAAATCTCTCTTTGTGAAAAATTCTGTAACAGATATATGCATTTATATGCATATCTTTTAGTTTCGTGCATGATTACTAGTGGATTCACTATTTGGGAATCATGACTCAATATTTATTTACGATTCCATTTAACCCTTTTACATAAATAAAAAAATACTTAAAAAATATCTTGTTTCCAACTTATCTCATGGAATAAAAATAAACTAAACAAATTTATATAGTTTTGGATATCACTTCTTAATTTTATTTTTTTAGTTTGGAGCCGCATCTTTGGTTTCATTCGACGAACCTTCACATCCACGCTCTCCAAATCGTGAGTATTACATGTTCGTAATTTGATGGAATGATAAATGTATGATAGAATATATGAAATGTATGATACTTAAATGTATGATAGAAATAATATTTAAACTACGAATTTGCAAGAAATATTGACAAGGTGTTTTAGTTTTTAAAAGAAATGGATCTTAAATTGAGAGAAAAAAATTCAAATAATAATAAATCTATTTTCAAATAGATATATAGATACACAGTGTTTTAAACAGTACTTTTTTACATCGTGTATCATTTTCATCGTATATCATAATGCATTCATTTTATCAATATATGACGTGATTTTACGATTATAATAGAGTAAAATATTTTATAATACTGAGCTCTTTTTCTAAAAGGTATTTAATTATCCTAAAAAAGTATTAAAAAGGAAAGGAATCATTTTTTTTAAGTACTGTTATTATATTTATTAAAGTTAATGTTATTTCAATAATTTGAGTAGACATTTTTCAATTTCTTACTTAGAAACAAATTTTGATTGAACTTTGAATAAACTTTATGCTTTGATATTATTCAATGTAAAATTTATGTAGAAGATATATAATTATTTCAGTAAATAAATCAGAAAACTATATGCTTTATTAAAAAGAATACAGTTTTAATACATTAATCTCGATTTTTCTTAACATCTGAAGAAATTACGCTATATACATATTCAACTAATCTAATAAATGTGAATTTATTATATTTTAGGGAAAATTTCATGGTTTGTCTTAAATATATTTCGTCAAAATTTTTTATTTAAGAAATTTACCATTCTTATTTCTCATATTTTATTTTATCTGGATGCAATTTTATGTTAAAATAATATAAAACATTTTTTTAAATTCAAATAAAATGTATTTATGAAAGACATTCAGAGTATATTTGACACATTAATAAATATAAAACTGAAAACGTTTTCCACTATGTTTCAATCTCATATGTTACAAATTTATTACTAGCGAAATTAAAATAGCAAGTATATCAGAAGATAATATTACAGCAAGATAATATGAAGAAAATAATAACTGACCGATTAATAGCATTTTTTTTTTATAACTGGCATTGAAAATTGGACTCAATTCTGAGTTTGCGACTATCAACATTCAACTCCGTTGTCTTGCAATTTTGAACCCAATCCAGAAAACAAGAAAAATTCCCAATCAAGCATTGGGTCAAACTAACCTTTATGGGGGACTTTTTGATGGAACCAACCCGTTTTTGCTTTACATAGAGGGGAAAACCACGAGAACCTCAAGCGATCCGACTGTGGTTAGTTGGACCTAATGTAATTTTAACACATGACCTGTCTCCCTCTGATTATATTTTACGTTAGCAGTGTTGTAGGTGCGAGCTTGGAGCCAATTTCGCATAAGCCAGCCACCGCTGGTATTCGAACTGGGGCACCTCATTGGGATTCAAACACTCTATCCCCTGATCCTTTGCAGTTCTCGCATACTAATTTTCTACTAAAAACAATTTTTTATATCTGCACCTTCTAAGTTATTCGAGAAGTCATTGGTCATCATACGGAGACTATTTATTAAGTTACAGAATCAGACACAAAAGCACCTTTTATTTGAATAAGCATGACTTCTTTTTGACAAGATTTTTTTTTCTTTTTTGCTATTAATATATAGGCAGAGGGAGGCTGCATCAGGGTCTATATCCAAGTAATATAGCATTATTATCAATAACATTATCAATCGATTTCAAAAAAAAGTGCCGATTACGATATAGAAAAATATTGTTCCGTAACATCGATCTATTTAAGAACGTCAGACTTTACATTATTGCACGGTATCGTAAAAATGATGTCTATCGATATTGTGAAATACACTGTGAAGTTTCGATCGACATCTCTCAACACTTACAAGTGCTGTAGGATGCAGACTAATATCGTCTAAATGATATTCGTGAAATAAATGCTGTAGAATGTTATCCATGAGCCAAATTCAATTCTTTGTTAAAAGAAGTAGCAGTTGAAAATATTCAGATCTGCTTTTGCTACTGAAAGGAGAAAAAATTGATAGGTGATTACACCATTTCTAGCTTGTTTTCGAAAGAAATAAAATATCCCTCATTATGAAAATTTTTTATATCAGTTATAGAATATATATTTGCATATGGAATCTCTTCCAGGCCTATTTTTTTTTAAAAAAAAAAGATTGGGGAAATTTTTTCAATTAATTAGAAACTATTTTCAATTATTTACTAAACATTTAATGTGTCTTAGTAATCAAGGATATTTTTTCTTATTTCTGAAAATAGGGATTTCTGGGGTACAAACAACCTGTTACAGTTTTTATTTGCTATTTCTTTTAATAATTGTTGCAAAAATAGAAAAATAACTTAAATGTAATCAAATTACAACGATATGTTTTTCCCTCTAATTTTTTTTAATTAAATTCAATATTTGCATAACTTTGTTTTTACACTACCTGAAATGAATGTCTAATAAAAAAATGCTACTAAATTTAGGATGAAAGAAGTACTGTGCCAGTAAATGTATTTCAAGTGGGAAGAAAAGCACCAAAAATATTTTGTGAATGCTTCAATGTTCGTGTTCTATTTGTTTAAAACTTGTATCATAGGTTATAACTCAGTACTAAACGTTTCCCTAATAACATATTAGTAACAGAAAACTGCAATTCTCAATAAAAACATATGTTTTTCTTTTTCATGTAATTTTCTGTCAGTCTAGGCAACGTTTTGCACAAATAAGCAAAAGATTATGCGAAAATATGTAAGATTTACACATATACTTTGAAAAGCTGCCAAAAATACCTTTCCTAATAGTTAATGAGCAGAATTTTGCTTTTATCATTTATAATTGTAAAATGGTACTAATGACTATGATGATGCTATCACAGTACCCTCAGTTTTCAATCCTTTGGCAATCGCCTAAATTTATAATATTACTTTTATGACGGTGTCTGGCACTTAACTTTTTTTTAACTGAGACCGTGAGGCTTACTAAGCCAGTTACCCGGATGGACCCTCACATTTGATCTCTGATTCTTTAGGAATGACGTGAACATTTTTTCAAGATCTGTTTTCTCGCTCTGCATACTCATGAAATAATTGTTATTCTCTCATATTTCATTATTTATGTGTTACTAAATCGGTAACCTCTACAAATGTATAAAACTGAAAAACACTAGCATTTCAATGATGAAGAAAAAATTATGAGGTGTTACAGAGTTGCATTGAAATTTTTCAGCCATAGAAAAACTTTGAAATAGATGGACATGGAGTATGATTAGTTTTTAATTTTCATAATCTCACGTATATTGTTTTAATGTCTATATCGTCTTAATTGTCGACCCGTAAGCAAAAGCTTCTTACAATATTTAGAGCGGAAATGATGTAACCTATTAAGGTTAACTCAATTTTGCCAGCACTTAAGCAATTCAGTACATGAATACCTTGCATTTTATACATATTTAAGTTGCGCGTAGATAGTAGTAGGCAAAATCAATCAAACTAAATTTATTAAATCAATAATAAAATCATAAAACTCACTGCCAATCTAAATATCTCCTATACTTTAAATATTTATTCTTTTTTAGCATAACGCGTATGTTTCCAAGCTTTGTTTTGAATGTTAAGTAGACCAGAGAAGTTTTTCATCATATTTGCTAGAAAAATGTAACAAAAAGATAAAATATATCAAAAAGTAAAAAAAAAAAAAAAAAAAAAAAAAAAAAAAAAAAAAAAAAAAAAAAAAACACTCAAAACTTTATTATACTATGAAATTAATGGCAATTTAAAGCAGTAATTATTGTTACATATATTTTCGACTGTTATATATATTTTTGAACCGAATTAAGTTTTTTTAATCAAGTAATATACAGACGTGTCATGAAAAGTTTTATTTCAAAATGTAAATTAAATTAGAAGCTTACCAATTTTTGATTTGCATGTAAATGTGCAAAGAAAAGAAATGTTTCGCTAAATTACAAATACTTTTTTCTAAATGTTTCTTACAGATGAATTATATTATTACATTATCAGGAATCGAAGCTTTTGATTAAAAAAACAATTTACTAAGCATAAGACCAAAATTTTAATTTAAATTCAAACTATCAAAAAAGCTAATTTTTACTTTAATTTATAATTTTTACAGCAATCATGTTTTGAACTAAATATTATTACTCATATTGTAAACATAACGTGGTAGTTAAAATATCCAGTTTCATCTAGAAATCAAGTAATATGCAGACGTGTTAAGCAAAATTTTGCTTTAAAATGTAAGTTAAATTAACTTACAAATTTTTGATTTGCATATAAATGTGCAGAGAAAAGAAAAGTTTTGCTGAATTACAAATACTTTTTCTTCTAAATGTTTCTTCTAAATGTTTCTTATAGATGAATTCTATTATTACATTATCAGGAATCGAAGCTTTTGATTAAAAAAAACAATTTACTAAGCATAAGACCAAAATTTTAATTTAAATTCAAACTATCAAAAAAGCTAATTTTTACTTTAATTTATAATTTTTACAGCAATAATGTTTTGAACTAATTATTATTACTCATATTGTAAGCATAACGTTGTAGTTAAGATAACCAGTTTCATCCAGAAATAAATGAAAAATGTCATACCTTCTCTTATCAGCATTTTAATTTAAATAGAAGGTTTCAACCTCTGCATCATTATATTTAACTCTTGATCAACTAACTCAACATAGTTTGACATACATATCTTGAATTGCCTACCAGGCTACCCATTACAGAGATTTGGCAAGAAAATTTTCCAGCTCTTAAATAGAGAAACATAAATACTGGTAGCACATTTCTTGTTCATTCTATATGCGAGCAGCAAAAAATGTACATCCACCGAGATATTTTAAATATATAAAACGCTGTATTTTAGTCCATAATAGTAGCAATTCTTAAGAAAACTCTTAAATATTAACTAACGAAAGATAAATATATCCACTTAATTTTAATATGGAGAAGTAATACTAGTTTTGTAATAGCATTTTTCACACAGTTCCTTTTATCAATATAAAAAAATAGATGCAATATGTAGTAATCATTAAATGGGATAATACTATTTATTTTAAAGGATTTTAATGAAACTAATTGTCTCAATGTGAAGCAATGTAAGATCATTTAAAGTCTTGTTTCAGACCTGAAAATTTACCAAAAGTGCATACCCGCAGTACTTATTAAACAGTACTTGAATTTTATTCCAAAGAATTTTACACTTTTGCAGAGCAAAGTACCGATGACATCTTTTTAAGAAGTGTTATCATTGACCTCTATTTATGTTTTAAGTGAATAGTGATATCAAATATAATTAATAAACAAATGAACAATACATTTTCGCAAGTTTGATCAGATAAGCTTGATTTTAGAATCTCTTAAACGAAAACTTCGAAATTTCAACTCATATAAAAAATGAATAAATAAATAAAATAAAACAACGAATTGGTTTTTCATTTTTAAACTCAGAAATTCATTACGATTTTATAATGAATCATAAAAAAAAATAAAAAATGTTAATTTTTGAAAACTTAACCTCAAATGAAACAATATTAAAAGCGCCTGTAAATTTTGCAAGAGAGTTTCAAATTTAGTTTACAACGGAAACTAAATTAATGGAGTATTAAATGAATAAATCATTCAAATTACTAAATGTATACGCAATTATTTATCTAGTTAATGATAGATAAATATTTTCCTGAACAATATTGAAAAACATTTAACACCTCTAAAACTTCTCGGCAAGTAGTAATATACCGTTTCTAACTTCAATCCAAACTTTGAACAATAGCTTTATCCATTCAAAAAGTTTAGTTTGCGAACGGATTTAGTTTTCTGCTCATTTGGAAGGAGGCAGAGAAGTGATGAGGATTAAATACTGTATTTATAAGAATTTATCGTTATTTACGAATAATTACAAAATGATAAATGTTTAAGAAAATTTGAGCTATTTTTTTAAACATTTTTTTCTAGAAATTTATCCTGAAATTAGATTCCTATGACAGAAATTATTTAATAAGAATTAATTGATAACTTTTTTGGAAATCACGATATCGAGAGATATCTTACAATATTGTTCCCTAAATGACCCAATTACCTGCGATATTATTTGCTATTTTTGACCAAATTAAGTCCATTTTGTTAAGCCCATTAAGTCCATATATATATATATACACTGGTTATCATAAATTAAGGAAAATTCACAAAAATCGCGATAACTCAAGAAATTACACATGGAATTTTATGAAACTTACCCACAATATACAACACATAGTAAGGTATTAAACAACATAAAAAGAAATTATCAGACATTAATAGTAGTATAGAAATTAGCACATGTATAAAATAAACAAATTGGAAGTATCGGTTTGCAATAGAAAAAGTACCTTTAATATGGAATATGATTGCCTCTAGAAGCAATACAGCACAAACAGCGATGTGTGATGCTTTCAATTATGCGGTCTATCAGTTCAATAGGAAGTGAGAGCCATTGCTCTT